TATGATGTATATATATATTTATTTATTTTACAGTTACAGAGATGAAAGAGATCGTCACAGAGTGGAAGACAAAAATCGTATTCGAGATAAAGATAGACGAGATCGAGATTATGATCCTGAAAAAGATCGGGATCGTCATGATAGATATGAAAGGCGTTCCATAGAAAGAAAGAAGAATAGGAAGAGTCCAACTCCATATTTGCAAAAGTGCAAAAGCGAAGCAAAGGATACATCGCCGGAACGATTGAGAAAGAAAGAAAAGGAGCATGAAGAAAAAATAGAAGATAAGAAAAAAGAGAAAAAGATCAAAGAAAAGAAAAAAAAGAAAGATAGCGATGAGAAAGAGAAGAAGAAGAAAAAGAAGAAAGAAAAGAAATCAGGACAAAAGGAGGTAATGAAAGAGGAGCCAATTAAAATGACGGAAAATGAGGATACTACATTTATAGAAAGTAAAACAGAAGTTACTTCACCTATTAAAATTGAAACTGTAAAACCAAATAACGAAGAGGATAATATAGATAATAGAATTGAGTGTATACCTAATGAATCAATGGTTTCTTCAAAAGAAGAATTTGAAGATAAATCTTTAGCTATGAATCCGGAACCACCTGAATATAATGAGCCTAGTCCAGAAAGATTGGAACACACAGAATTTGGTACAAATCCACCCAATCCTAATTTTAAACCCATACCGGAGTTAAAATCAGATATAAAACCAATAGATAATCTTTATAGTGGTTTGGATGACACAGAAATAAATACAGTAATTACAGAAACATATACTTTATTATCAGAAAATGAAATAGAGGATAAAGAAACTATATGTGAAGAAAAATCGCCAAAGAAAGATGAATTTTTAGCCCCTGTACCAGAGCTTTCAAAGTGGGAAAGAGATGATACAATAGAAAAATCTGACGATGTATGTGAATCTCCTACGGACAAAATGCAAATAGATGAACCAAAATCAACAAAAGTAGTTACTTCAGAAGTTTTAAAAAGAGCTGAAAATGCCATATTTCAAAAAGCTATTAATGCGATAAGACCAATAGAAATAAAAAAGATTAGCGAGAGTAGAAAGATATTATATCAAAATCCGGAGCCAAAAGTACTTGAAGCAGAACCAACTAGAGAACAGCGAAAAAGTGTTAATGTAACTATTAACGTTGGTAGAAATGAAAGAAATGTAGAAATTACAGAACCTTTGAAAAAAGCGAAGATAGACAGAACAAAATTTAAACCAGTTCCAGAGACTTATTCTCCAACGCGTTTATCTGCTAAGGAGAGACTTGGAGAGAAAGTCGAAGATAATAAAGAGAGAAAAATTAGTCCTATTAAAGGCTTTTTAGATAGACGAGAAACGAAAAATGAAAATCAGTCTAGAAGTCGATCTCCAAAAAGTACAAGAGATAAGAGAATATCTCCACTTATGGAGAGAAGAGTTGATTCTTCGTTAGGTATACCAAGTACTGATCGTAAAGTATTTCTTGAAGAAAGAAAACGAGATAAAGAAAGAGGTGAACGTTCAAGAGATAGAAACGATTTCAGACATGAGAGACATGAATTAAGAGATACGAGGATGGATTCAAGGCAAGATTTTCGATCGAATAGAAGTGAAACAAAAGGAGAACGATCGGATAAAGATAGAGAGAAAGATCGAGAACGAGAAAGAAGAGGTAGAACACCTCCATCTGTATTTAAAAGAAACGAAGTACCCAAAGTGGGTCTTGGTAAACCTAAAGATGATGAAGAAGATAGAAGAAGAGATAAAAAAGTAAGAGAAGATAAAAAGAGAAAGAAGGAACATCGTAGTCGTAGTAAATCGAAAGAACATAAGAAACGTAAAGAAAAGAAACATAAGAAAGATAAAGAAAAAAGTCAAGAAAAGAAACAAAAACACAGAGAAAATGTAATTTTGAAAGAAAAAGCTGAAACAAGTGAAAATAAAATTAATTATGAGAATCCAGAACCTCCTATTATAGAATCTTTAAAGAAACAAAGAAAGAATCCTAGACTTGTCTCTGATCGTAAACGTAGCATACTAGATGAATCTAGTTTTGAACCTGATTACTCTGCATCTGATTCTGAATCTGAGCCTGAAGATGGTAAAATTATAAATTTACCTTCTAAAAAATTGAAACTTGAAGAATCAGAATTAGAAAAGGATATAGATATAAAATCCTTAAAAAAAAGATCTAAATCTACTAGTAGTGAAGATACATCGAGTAGTTCTGAAAGTACGAGTTCTGATTCTGATAGTTCTGATGAATCACATAAAAAGAAGAAAAAGAAACATAAGAAACATAAAAAAAAGAAATCAACTAAAAAAGACAGTAGCTCAGAATCTGATAGTTATTCTGATTCATCTGAAACAAGTAGTGATGAGGAAAAACATAGAAAAAAATCGAAAAAATCAAAAAGCAGAAGTAAACAATCTAAGAAGAAGAAAAAATCGAAACATAAATGACATCATTAGTTAATTTGGCAATTACTAATGAGATATTAGTAAACATTTTTTTTCGTTGATAAATATCTTTTAAAATTAAAACATGCATTGACGATTGCGTAAATTATTGACGAAAGTGACAAAAGTGCATTGTTCTCTGCATATCCATGAACTTTAATAGATAACTGCTTTTTGCTATATGCATATAATATTAATACGAAGTTCAAAAGTTATTTGGGCTTTAACGTTAATATTAACTACACAAATTATCAATGAATTATTTATTAACGAACAAATTTTATGATCATAACGAATTTATGAACATATACAGAATAAATAGAATGTTATATTTACAAAGGAAGCATTTCCTTCTATTTGGTAATATTATATGGCCTTTAAGTAATTATATTCTGATTTCAATATTAAAACCCTATATCATTTATAAGACGAGATGTACATTATAGCTGTCAGTAGCTTATAATATTCTTAAGATTTCCAATAATGGTATTGCTTAAGAACACCTATCATTAAGATTTCTGCTATCTAAATGTTATATTGTACTTTCATAATGTAATATCTCATATATATATATATATATATA